AATTTCCGTTACCGACACTAGCTAAATTAATAGGTAGCTCCCGTGACGTCACAAGACGACACGAGGAGGGGAAAAACGGTTACGAACCTAAAACCTAGAGCATTGATCGACACTTCGATCTATCCCCCGGTGTTAACTACCACGCTAGGTATTTCTTAGCCAATTTACCACTATAGTTCTATTACTACTATTAGGTGATTACTCACCAAAACATACTAAAATTTATAAAACTTACTACTAATTCATTTAATATTCTTTTATACTACTATTAGGTGACTACTCACCAGAACCTTAAATAATCTAAGAGTTTATTGTCTAATTTAATATTCCTAATTGTAAATTATTTTATCATTAAATTTTATTTTTGCTGGATCGGGATGTTGGAAAGAATTTAATTGGTCACTTAAGTTCGTGTTTTATCGTTTGTTATATAAAATATCACAGTTTAAAATTATTGAACACATGAACTCTTAATATCTATTAACAAGGTAATTTAATTTAACTAATTAATTGAATAAACATGAGTAGTATTATTGTTATTATTATTTAATCAAAATATGTAATTATTTGGACACGAGTACTGTTATTATTATTGAATTAGAAATATGAGTTATGAGTTATTAATACACGTGGCATCAAATACCAATATTAATATTAAGTTTGTTCTGAGCGATGATAATTATGTAATTTAACAATGTCAAATTGTTGAGTTTATTACAAGAGTTAATTAATTGATTTATGTCGCAATAATCACTATTGATGACGCGACAATATTAATTACGAGCGATGATACGAGTGATGAGCACAGAGAGAAGTTTGGACGCTAACTGAACTTATCAGCATTCACACGAGCACACAAGTAGAAAAGAAAAACAAGAGATTAACAGATTATTTACATACCGAGCAATTGGTGACATCACCTCAGTCAAGTATGACAACAACTTGCACTAATGACAAATTATGATTTAATGAGTCATGCATGTTTTAATGCTGAATATTATTTAATCTCCTATGAATGCTGATTGTACATGTAAAACTGATCAACATGGTATGTAAAAGTAATCCCGAAATACCGGCATAATAACAATTGAGAGGTTACCAAGGCAAAAGTTATGAATGATAGTTATTTAACAGGTTGTAATATGAGATATATTGAAATATGTGAAGAAAAATAATACCTGAATTACCAATTATGTAGAACTTCTTGGCAAAACACTGAATGTAATGAGTTGAGCACAATTGATTAGAAAATAATTGTAGAGATACACAATGCACGTGTTGTTGAGTACAGCGTGTGGGTTTGTTATGGCGGTTGGCGCGCAAGCTGCTGTTGACTTCGGGAGATGACTTGCAGAGTGCGCGTCAGTCGCCGCATCTCTGGTGAGGTTGAATGCGAACTTACCACATGTTCTGGCGCGAACATATGGTATTTACGCAACAACTATAATATTGAATTTTTATGATCATTAATTTAATTTTTTAATTTTTAAAATATGAGTATACAACGTTTCGTCACTTTCGCAGCTTCCTCAGGTACTACAACAGACAATAATCATAATTACAATACAATTATTCAGAAAAATAATTCCAAATGAGTAATAATTTAATTAACAGATCAAATTAAACTAATTTAAATACACTAGCTATAGTAAAAATTACCTCAATTATAAACATTAACTGTTAAATTTACGTATAATAATCTCGGCATTCATACGACTTAAAATTCTTTCTGTTTTTAGTAATCATCTTACAATATTTTGAGTAACTGAATTTTATATTTTTTTGATAAAAAAATAAATGAGTTATAAAAGAATCATTTTTTACTTATTTTTGTACGCGTTATATTGCACTTTCATAATTATTAATTTAATTGTTTAATTTTAAAATATGTGTAAAAAAATGAAGCAGAGAATTTACCAGACTGTAATAATAATAATAATAATAATAATAATAATAAATATAATTTATAAAAATGTTTATAATTGTTTTTTTTTTTTCAGGTAAGAATAAAAAATTTTTTCTCAATTGTTTAAAATTTTCCATAATTCTATTAACTGTTTTTATCAAATTTATTTGTAAGAAGTTATTCACTCACATTTTCTGAAATTAAAATATTTTTTCAAATGCATTGATAGTAAATATTAAAAAAAGAAAAAAAATTTTATCTTAATTTTTCAAAAAACGGAAGTTACATTTTGGTAGTAAATTTAGGGTTTTTGTAAAAAAATTTTTAAATACATTATAAGTAAAATAATCATAACAATAATTACTTTTATGAACTTTAAATACCATTAATTCTTTTGTCTCAAGAGTAGTTTTTTGAAATTTTGTGAATTTTTTAAAAAATTACTTTTCCGGGTAAAATAGATAAGAAAAAATTTGAAAAATTATTTGATTATATAAAATTTTTACAATTTTTTTTATTGAAAATATTATTTAAATAAAAATTTTGAATTGTAGAAAATTTAAATAGTTCTGTGCAATTTTTTAAAAATTCTTTTTTACTCATAATTGTTTACGTTTCAAAAAATCAAAAATTTTCCGGGGTTACAGTTGCGTTATCTCTATTTTGCTATCTTTGTCGAAGTTACCCGCAACAGCAAAAACTTCTCTCCTCTAGTTCATTCACTGTTGAATTAGAAATTTCCAAAAATTTTTTCTCTGCCTGACTGTAAAATATAAATAAAAAAACATTAATATAATTGAATAAAATTTAAATGTACGTATTTGAGTATAATTAGAAGTAAACAGAGGACACGCTGAAATCGTTTGTTATAATTCTTTTTAATCATTTTTTTGTTGGTTAAGTTAATAATCTACATCAGCGTACTTAGTTTATTGCACATCATTATTTTAAATTAACCTGCTTACTGAAATTCAAATGTCGAAAAATGTCAAAGTTGACAAAACCATTGTACACGTTTAAGCCATTCGTCTTGAAGGAACATACACCTAAAGATGATGAAGAACCAGAAGGAAGATGCGGAAGCGAAATATATTGTAAAGGCCATAATCTTTATGTTTATGGCGGACGTGATCCAACGGTCGTAGATTTTCGAGAACTAGGCAATGACGAAGTTTATATTGTCACGAAGCCAGAATTTCGTGACATGTGGGTATTTAATTTACTGTCAAATGAATGGGCGTACATCAACAATGGACATCAATTACCAGATCGGAAGCATAATGAGATTGGTGTAATCTTCGAAGGGAACTTGTTAACCATTTGCACTATGCGAGTACCTTATTCTGATAAACTTACATACCTATATATTTGCAATATTCTCAATGGATATGTGATTAATCAGCCTCTTCAAGGAGAGGTACCTAAATATCCTTTATCAAATAATATGATTCGTGATGGAGGATATTATTATTTGGTTGGAGATGTTAATGATGAAAACAATCGTGTTGGCAACGTCTACAGGATAAATATGAAGAGTGGAATTTGGGAATGTGTCTATAAATGTCAAGGAAAATATAAAAATGAACTTTGGAAATGTATTCCTTATTATCTAGTTTTTGATGGAAAAACAATTTTTACTTTTTTTTCTCTTGATGATGATGATGATGATGAGCGTGACGATAATTTCACTCCATATTCTTTTTTGGTAATTAATATTTTTCGGTTAATGATAATTTATTAATTCGTAACTAACAAAATGTTTTTTTTTTCTTCAGAATCTTGCAGCTTTTAATATACAAAATCGCCGATGGAGAATGATCAATACCCATGGAGATGTTGATCATGTACCCAATTATCCAATGGATAGAGACGAACTTAACGGATCCGATCCTCGAATTACGCACTACCGAGACACTAATAATAATTTTATAGTGATTTTATCAGGACAGATTGATCATGAAGATTATTACAATGATTTATGGGAATTAAACCTCAGTACCATGACATGGAAAAATATTGACAATCGTGGAACTTTAATACCACCAACGTTCGAAGATTACTCAATGACTGTGTCTCCTGCTGGTCAACTATTTACATTCGGTGGATCTATCGGTGACCCGAAAGATAGAGTATATAATTCATATTTTAAAACTAAATTTACTAGATATCATAGAAATTTAATTATTACTTTTGTCCTTCTAAAGCAACTTTTCATAAATTTTGATGTTTTCTGATTTTTAGCTCGTGCTCGTTTAGAAAATTCTATTAACTCAAAAGTTTATATTTGTATATACTATAGCTCACAATTCTTAACGGATCTTTAGTTCGAAGATTAATAGCTAAACCGGTCGATTAGTTCAAAAATTACAGTAATTAAAAATTTTCAAAACTTGTGGAAAATTTTAACTTTTACTTTCTCTTCATGCATTAACTATTGAATACAATAACTTAATGAATAATTCTGAATTTCATCTGAAAGCTGATTAAATGAGCTTGAATTTCCAGAGCCATATATTTTGCTAGATTGTTAAATTTCAAAATCAAAGCAATTTAAAAGTTTAAACGTTTGAGAAAGTTTTCATCAGTTTTACTGGTTCTTAGCTCAATGACTATTGAATTCGATAATTTATTAATTTTCTGTAAACTGCATCTCAAAGCTTATTAAATAAGATCTTATTTAATTCATTAACCTCTGATAATTGGTGAACATTGAAACCATATTCTTTTAATAGCAATGAGGGTAAAAAAAAAAACTAGTACGATTTAATTTCAAGTATTCCATGAAGGCAAAAAAATTTTTTTAATTTTTTAAATTGAAGCTCGAATAATTATGCGTAATTTTAAATATCATTTTTAAATAATTGAATATATATAAAGATAACATTTAACATATGCGTTAATTATTATATGAAAAAAGTCTGTATAATTCCAATGAAGTTACATTTTAGAGGTGGGTTAGAGGACTTTTTACCCAAGTTTGCCTGTCAGGCGTTATAATTTATATATTTGAAAAAAAAAAAAAATGTATAGTATATTACACACTTAGATCAGGAAGTAATTGTTGATCGAGGCGAAGCCGAGGTTAACAAACATGTGATCTGAGACATTTCTTATTTACCGCTCAAGGTGTGTAAACTATTTTTTCGCCCAGAGGGGAGAAAAAATTTTATATTTTCCGGTCCATTTGATGAAATTTTACTTTTGTATTCGTTTTTACATTCTATTATTTAAATTTATTTGACTGTTTTCTCAACTATGCGTCAGTGTTTATACTATCAATTTTGATTTTATTAGAATAGGAATTCTACTTCCATTTTGACTGGCGAGTAGCTATTTTCTCATTATAATATTATATCATTGCTCAAGTATTTAAATGGTTGTGTTAAAAATCAATTTTTTTTTTCAGGTTCCCTATGGCTCTCGTGTTCACTCAGTTTGGATTACTATTCCAAAACTCTCAGACATTTGTTGGGAGTCTGTTCTTCACTATTTGCCGAGCTTGGTTTCAATGTCTCAAGAACAAGTTGAAAATCTCGGTATTTCATGGAAATTTTTTCAATCGAGAGTTAACTAATAATTAAGTATTTTTTTTGTGTTGCCTTTTTTTTAATTAATTATCAGTTTTTTATGTATACGCTTAAGTATTGTCACTTATCAATCTATATCGAAAGTGTAAATGTTTATTCATTTGACATTTGAGTTTTAAATAAGTTTATAATAATTAAAAATATAATTTGTTTATCTCTTGATTTTATAGTAATCAACATTAAACAGTATTAATTTTAAAAAATGCGTATATGCATTTTTCATTAAAAAAATTGATATTATTTATAATTAGTAAGTTAATAAAACAATAAATTAAGTTAGGAAGTTATTATCATTTCAAGAATTTTATTTTGCAACATTAGTTTTTAGTGGATATTTCATATCGTCAGACCATTTTTTGGAATGTCCAACTCTTTGTACAGGCTTTTCAGACTTGGATTGTATGGTGATCTGTTAATTATACTCAACGGAAAAGACCGAAAATACTCGAAACAATTTCTGATATTACAATTTGAAAACTTAATTTGTTTGTTTTAAAATATTTAAAATCCTTAGACAAGTATTTAAAATACACTGAGAGATGAAATTTATTTTCATTAAAATTGGTATTGTTTTGACAAGAAATAAATTTGTTGAACATTTTGAACAATTTTATTTCTTAGTTGAAGAAATACTAATTTTTCTTATAGTAACTTTCTGGTTGAAAAAAAAATTTTGGATGAAACTTCACAAGTTGTTTATTTACAATTGTTCTTTCCCAAATCAAATAAATTTTTTTTTAACTAGAAAATATTTTTTTTTTTCAATAGCCCTATGTGTCCCCTTTCAAACAAACGAAAGATCATTGAAAAACTGAAAAAATCGCGAAATTTTAAGTTTGTATGTTCTGAAAAAATTTTTTTTCCTTTGGCAGAACTTCGTTTTATGATAAAAGAAAACTTCTGACTAAAATTCATCAAAATCGAAAGGAGTATAATGTAAGTATGATATAAAGTAAACAGAGGACGCGCTGAAATCGTTTGTCAATTTTTTTTTGTTAAATTAATCTACGTACTTACCACACAATCATTATTTAAAATTAACCGTACTGAAATTTATTTGTCAAAATTAAAAATGTCAAAGTTGACAAAGCAATTGTACACGTTTAAGCCATTCATTTTGAAGGAACATATACCTAAATATGATGAAGATGATGATGATGATGATGATGATGATGATGATGATGATGATGAACAACGAGTAGGAATATGCCATAGCTTAATGTATTATAAGGGCAATAATCTTTTACATTTACGGCGGAAAAGATCCAGACGATCCAACACATTCCTCGATTTTTTAGGACTAGGCGACTTGTGGGTATTTAATTTACTGTCAGGAGAATGGACGAACATCGACAATGAATATCAATTACCAGGCCAGACGCAAGAAGAGATTGGTTTAATCTTCGAAGGGAACTTACTAACTATTTGCACTATCCACGTACCTTATTCTGAAAAACTTACATACTTATATACTTGCAATATTCTCAACGGACATGTGATCAATCAGCCTCTTCAAGGAGAGATTCCTAAATTTTTTTCATCATGTAATATGATTCGTGATGGAGGATATTATTATTTGATTGGAGATTTCGATGATGAAAACAATGTTATTGGTAACGTCTACAGGATAAATATGAAGAGTGGAATTTGGGAATGTGTATATAAATGTCAAGGAAAAGATAAAAATAAACTTTGGAAAAATATGCCTGCATACCTAGTTTTCAATGGGAAAACGATTTTTACTTTTTTTTCTCTCGATGGCGATGATGATAAGTATGACGATAAATTCATTCCATATTCTTTTTTGGTAATTAATATTTTTCGGTTAATGATATTGTATTAATTTGTAACTAAACGAAACATTTTTTTTCTTCAGAAACTTGCCGCTTTTGATGTAAAAAATCGTCGATGGAGAATGATAAATACTCATAGAGATGTTGATCATGTACCCAATTATTCCAAGAATGAACATGACATAGGTTGTTTTGATTTTACGCATTACCAAAACTTTAGCAACGATTTTATAGTTATTTTATCAGTACAAATGGCTTTTAATAAAGATTATCACAGTGATTTATGGGAATTAAATCTCAGTACCATGACATGGAAGAATATTGACAATCGTGGAAGTTTAATACCACGAATGTTTCACTCATACTCAGTGACAGTCAACTATTTTTATTCGGTGGATCGCCCGTCGACCCGAGAAATGGAGTATATAATTCATATTTTAAAACTAAATTTAGTAGATATAGAAATCTAATTATTGCTTTTGTCCTAGCTCATAAAGCAACTTTTCAAAAACTCTATGATATTTCCTGATTCAGCTCATGCTAATTTAGAAAATACTATTAATTTATTTCGAAGATGAGTCGGTTAATTCAAAATTACAGTAATTAAAAATTTTCAAAACTAGTGAAAATTTTAACTTTTGCTTTCTCTCCATGCAATAACTATTGAATACAATAACTTACTAAATTATTGTAAATTTTATCTGAAAGCTTATTAAATGAGCTTGAATTTCCAGAGCCATATATTTTGCTAGATTGCTAAATTTCAAAATTAAAGCAATTTAAAAGTTTAAACGTTTGAGAAAGTTTTCATCAGTTTTTACTGGTTCTTCGCGCAATGACTATTGAATTCGATAATTTATTAATTTTCTGTAAACTGCATTTGAAAGCTTATTAGATAGGATCTTATTTAATTCATTAACCTCTGATAGGCAAACATTGAAACTGTATTACTCTAACAGCAATGAGGGTAAAAAAAGACTAGTACGATTTAATTTTAAGTATCCAATGAAGGTAAACAAATTTTTTAAATTAAAGCTCGAATAATTCTGCATAATATAGATATAATTTTTAAATAATTGAATAATATAAAGATAACATTTAATATATGTACAAAGCCTGTAAAATTCCAATGAAGATACATTTTAGGGGTGGGTACTTTTTACCCAGTTTGCCTGTCAGCGGTTATAATTTATATACTTGAACAAATAAACGATTCATTTCACACTTAAGACAGGAAAGTTACTGTTAAAAATTTTATATTTTCCGATCTATTTGATGAAATTTTACTTTTGTATTTGTTTTTACATTTTATTATATAAATTTATTTATGTATTTTCCAAACTATTCGTTAGTGTTTATATTACCAGTTGTGATTTTATTAGAAAAATAGGAATTCAATAACTTTAATTTTGACCACGGCGAATAGAATTTTTTTATTAATATAATAGATTACGTATTTACGTGGTTGTATTAAAAATAACTTTTTTTTTTTTTCAGGTTCTCAGTGGTTCTCGTGTTCACTCAATTTGGATTACAATTCCAAAACTCACAGACATTTGTTGGGAGTCTAGCTGTTTTTCACTACTTGCCGAGCTTGGTTTCAATGTCTCAAAAACAAGTTGAAAATCTCGGTATTTCATGGGAATTTTTCCAATCGAGAATTAACTAATAAGTAAGTATTTTTTTTTTTTACGTTTCCTTTTTTTTTAACTAATGATCATTTTTTTATGTATACGCTTAAGTATTGGCTCTTATCACTATTTATTGAAAATATTAATGTTTACTCATTTAACGTTTGTTTTTCAAATAAGTTTATAATAATTAAAAATATAATTTGTTTGTCTCTTGATTTCATAATAATTATAACATTTAACAGTAATTATAACGTTCAAAAAAGGCCGAAAATATTCGAATCAATTTCTGAAACTACAATCTGAAAACTTAATTTTTTTTGTTCTAAAATACTTAAAATCATTAGACAAGTATTTAAAATACAGAGACAAAAAAAATTTATTTAAAAAAAAATTGGCATTGTTGTGACAAGATATTAATTTGTTGAACATTTTGAACAATTTTATTTCTCAGTTGAAGAAATAAAAATTTTTCTCATAGTAACTTTCTTGTCGAAAAAAAATTTTCTAGATTTGGAAAAAAATTTTTCATAAAAATTTACAATTTATTTATTTTAAATTGTTTTTTTCCAAATCAAATAAACTTTTTTTTTTTTCAACTAGAAAATTATTGTTAGCAAAATTTTTATTTCTTCAGCTAAGAAATATATACAATTGTTTTAAATTATCAATTATCAAAATAAATTTTTTCTTTCAGTGCACTTGTAAATAAGAAAACACTGAGTATACTAAAAAATTTAATGAATCGTTATTTTTTGTTTTTTTAATTGTACTATTGCGAATTCATGAAGGTATCAATGAAGACATATTACAGCAGTTTAATATATTTATATTAATAATAATTTTTTACAATTTAAAAGAAGAAATAAAATTATTCGTTAATATTATTAATATCAAGCTTTATTATTTTATAAATATAAAATATACTTCATTTAAAGTTCATTTTTATTTGTCAAAACAAGCTAAAATTTACAGTTTGTTGACAAAAAAAAAAACTTGATATGGATTAAATTTAAATTCCCAAAAGATCTCTTTTTTTTTTTATAAAATGAGACTACATTAATATTCACGAACTAAAACCTTGAGGCCATTGTACGGGAGTCCGAGGCCAATGTCCGGTCGATAAACTGAAGACTCTATGAACCTATGGAAGTTTTTCTCTTGGCAGGACAACGCCAAAGGATGTGGGCAAAATACCGGTTCTTGATTCTTGAGGCAAAATAGACAACAATAAAAGTTTATATGTATCTTGGGTTATTCTCCTACCTCAGTCACTCTCACCCGTTGGTGCTTGTTGGTTTAAACAGCCCAACAGAAGAACAAGCTCTGACTTTACTGTAGGCAGTTCGGCTCGTGTGACCCCGTGAAAAAGTACCAGGAAACATCATGCAGCTTAATTTTTTATTTTTACTTGCCGGTACACTCATCTGGCAATCTACCGATGCACATCCAGCAAGCTATGATCAGCGTCAAACGGGTGATCTCAACGTTCAACTCGGCTTTAAGGACATCCAGGTCGTTGCGCTTATGGACACAGATCTTCTTGGTGATTATGTGGTATGCTTCTTTAATAATATTAATTTAAACAAAATTAATCATGAATTACACTCATTAATATTTTTTTTACAGGATTACAATTACTCTTATGACTACGCTGATTTTACAATAAAACCAGCCTCCAAGCCTACGACTACTGCAGGTCCTACAAGTTCAGTTGAACCTTGGCATACTTGGCCAACAATTCCACCATCATCTTCAACTACTTTGTCATCATCTTCATCATCATCCTTACAATCATCTTCTTCTTTAGAACCAGATGCTATTTCTCCTTCTTCTTCTTCTTCTTCTTCTTCAACAACAACAACAATATCTTCAATAACTTCAAACGATTCTTTAGAAATTGAAAAAATAACTTCTTCAACTGAAACAAATAAAAATCCTTCTAAAATAAATCGACGAGATTCTCTTTCAAAATTTGATTGTCCTTCAGGGTACAGTTCAGATGCAAAAGGACGTTGTCGTAAAATAATTCGTAGGCGCCTATCATTTTTGCCGTAAGTAAATTTTTATAATTATTAACTTCAATTTCTTCAATAAAACATGTTTATTTTTAAATCTTTAATTTTGATTTGTAAAAAATTATATTCTTCTCTAATTATTAATTTTTAATCCAGCAGATTAATGAAACTGGGGCCAAAAAAAGAAGGAACAAGCAAAGATTTGCGCGCAGCGCCTTGGATATCTGAAACACAATAACTTTAATCAACATAACGTCCAAACCTAAAGAAAAAAGTCGACTTAGATCCTGTTAAAATTAAAATGTTATCTCAAATATAAGCTTCTCTAACCTGTGATTGCTAAGGACCTTGACCTCAACTTGTTTCTCTCTCTTGGTCAGTTTCTCCGTCCACGTATGCATCTCCCAAATAACGGTAGTTGTTCTTGATATTCCTCAGTATCTCAGACGTCTTTGCTCAACGAACAAGTCATGCAGTTGATAGTGTACTCAGTGTTCTGTATCCTTGCGGTCTCAGGATCTCCAGCTCATTACGACCAGCGTCAAGAAGGTAGCTTAAATGTCCACGCGCTGCTCAAAAATCTCTATTTAGTAATCTTGGTACCAAGTGTCGAACCACCCAAACCATCAGTTGCTTCCGAGGAGATTGACTCATGGCCAAGTGTCCTCGAACAATTGTTGGAGTTCAAAAGAGATCAGACTAGGAATGGAATTACGGAGAGTGGTGACAAAAATTTTACTGAGAATGATTTAAAGTATGGACGTGACGCTAATACTAATAATGATACTGATTCGCATGATGAAGATTCAGATAAAAAAAATAATAATAATAATGATACTGAACAAGTGACTGATCACTCAGAGTCTAAGTTACTCGGAGATGGCATTGAAAATTGTGGCCCTGACAGATTTCGCGATCGCTTTGGTATTTGTCAATTTGTCACTTCATTAAGAAACTAATTTTTTTTTTATTATTATTCAATACACTAGAAAAAAAATAATTTTAAATAAAAATTGTAAAATTTTTTTAATGGAAGAAATAATATTAATTCTTAAAATTTTTATAAGAAAAATATTTAAAAAATTTGCATTTGTAATTTTTTTAAATTTCTACAAGTGGAATTTTTCTGCTAAATTTTTTTTTTATCATAATTTAATTGTTATAAAATCATCTGAAGAAAACATTATGATTTATTTTGATTTCTTCTTTTAAAAAAATAATTTTTAAATGTAAAATTAATAAATAAATGTCATAATTTAAAATTGAAATTTATTTTTATAAAAATTTTTGTTACTTCGCTTAATTTTAAGATTATTTTATAAAAAATTTAGATTTTAATTAAAGGTTGTAATCATTTAAACAAATAAAAGTTTTAAGTGGTAATGAGAGTAATAGTGTTATTTTATTCTTATTTAAATGGCTTGGGATTACATAAGTATAAACAGGAAGGCAAAAATAGAATGTTAAGTAAGTGATTCTTAAGCTTGTTGAAGTTCATGGCGGGTCCTTGAACCTGGCTGATGGTACGTTTGAGTGCACCGATCGGAAGTGACCGTAGTTGAGAGAAGATAGAATGAAAAAAATAAAGAACAAGAAGAAATAAAGCTAAGAGAGTGGGGAAGGAGTAAAAACTGGTAGGCTGGATCTTCATCTTCCGTAGTCTTTTGTCAGTTACGAGACAAGCAAGTTCTATTACTATCAGCATCATGGTGTTCGTCATAAACATGAGAGTCTTCAAAACGATATTTACTCTCTTAATTGCGGTTACGAGTTTGGTCCAAGCTGGACCAGCCTCATTTTTACGTCTAGAACATAGGACTGATGATGACTCTCTGTCACTTCCTATGGATAATTTGGAGTTTTCTTCAACCAACAGCAGTTCAACGACTTCACCGACCCAGGACACTTACGATCAACGTCAAAATGGAACCGAAAATTATCAAATTCATGTAGATGGTTTTGTTATCGTCGTTGCACCAGTGGAAGCTCTTTTGCTGGCTGATGCGGTTTCTGGAGGCGGTAACAATGATTTTTTTGCTGGACTTACGGGAGCTGCTATTAAGCCGCCACAATCTAAACCTGAAGAATCGAAACCAACACAAAAGCCTGTTGAAGAAAAACCTGATACGTTAATCAAAAAATCAGTACCCAGGTAAATTTTTTAAAATTATTCCATTTAATTGTTTATTAAATAATTTTTATTTTTTATTTTAGGCCTCACGTCAGACTTGTCAGCTTCTTAACACCATTCCTACGAAAAATTGCACAGCATTGAATTTATTCTGAAAATTTCTTCTTAATTAATTTTAATTTTTTATAAATAATAATTAAAAGTGATAATTTTTTTTTTTTTTTATTAAAATGATATTTATTTGGTATTCGAATACAGACAAATATATATAGATTCTGGTTTGTATTCATTTTATTATTAATAATATTTATGCTTTTTTTTACGTAAAAAAATTCCTAAAGAGTCTATCTGTACAATTACTGGCAAAACATTAAATTTTTTTTACTTGACTGCTAGACCAGAAGTTGTTTATTTCATTTTTTTTTTTTTTTCTATAATACAATTTCCCAATTTGTCCTGTAATTGTTTAAGTTAATTCCAATTATGCAAAATTATATTGAGAAAAATATTTAAAAAATAAATGCGATTTAAAAGAGAAGACAGCGATTTCCTCTAGACATTTAAATATAATATAATATAATATAATAAGATTGTTATTGTTATTGTTATAAATTTAATTTTTATAAAGTGCAAAGGTAAGCGTATCTTTAAGCTATTATGAACTTAACACGAGATCACTTTAAGCTTAGCGTCGATTGTCCAAGGAAATGTAGACTAGAATGCTAATTAAAATCGCTCCAGGACGGGAATTATGAGCTATTTTCTGTTGTTTGATTGATTGAGCCGTTGTAATTTAAGAAACTCCATTCTAGAAAATAAAAAATTAAATAATTATTTTGTAATTTGAAAATTGGATATAATTATATTTATCACAATTTTTAAGTGTACAAATCGGTATTTTTTGATCGAGTTGTACCAAATTGTAAATAAATTATTATTTAGTAAATATTAAGGGGATTCTAGTCTAAAAATTAAACAAAAAAATTTCAAAAAATTTTTTTATTTATTTTTAAAATTTATATATTCAAAATTTTATCCTAAAATATTTTGTTCTAATAATCCAATTCACTCAAAATTTGATATTATCTTTCTTTAGACATCCTTCAATAACCTTTACCAGAATTAAGTCAAAATTTTTCATCTTTATTTTTTTTTTTTTTTTAAATCTTGCTAAGCAAAAAATCAACTTCTTTTTGTTAACCAGTCGCTGGTCAAATAAATTTTTACTTCTTTAGACTATACAAAAAATGAATAAATAAATGATAAAAAATATAAATTATTTTTTTTTTATCGCGCTTCAAGGGGTCATTCTGATTTGTAACTTTCGAAAAAAGAAATTTTTTTTTTAAATAAAATTTTTGAAAAGGTCGAAAAGATTTTGTATAATGTGATAGGTATCACTAATAGATTTTAGGTAAGATTTTTTTTTTTTTTTAATTAAAAACAATTTTAAGCGCGTTTATTTTGGAACAATGTTATTCTGGTTGTCATACATGATACCTCCACAACCACACACAAGATATTAATGAAATTTAAACCGCATACTCTACATAGTAGTAGCTATTGCATCAGTAGCAACCAAATCAAAATTTTGATTTTTACTTTTTTTTTTAATGACTAAAAACTGCGAAAAAAATCTTTATTTTTTAGATTATTTTTTTCAAGGTTCGCTATTTCGTTATTTATGAATAAATATTAATTAGTATGTAGCTGGTGCAATAACTACTTATGTATTGAACGTTAGCGATATATCAACTCTCGAAAGATTTCCGTTCACCCTTCAGATAGTTCGGTCATAAATGCAAAATTTTAAGAAATTTTCGAAATTTAAAATATGGGTAATAGAATACGCATTACATATGCTGTTAAAACTTGAAATTAATTGACCATACCAGAAATGAGATAAGGTAAAAGTCCCAATAGATGCTCATGTACCAGTATATAATCACTACATGCATTTGTTGTACATCTATATTCACAAATATAGATATACAAATACATGGAGTGATCATATACTGATACATGAGCATCTATTAGGGCTTTTAGCTTAATTGTAATTAAAAATGACATTTTAACACAAACAGTATGGGTGGAGAGTGAGAAAATAACAAATATTAATGATTATTTCATTGAAAGAATTTTAATATTGTTTAAAAAAATTGATACCTGTTGGAATAATATACTTAAAATAACCCAAAGGAATTTTGAAAATTTTGACCATGTAGTTTTTTATAAATTATTAATAAAGTGGCTAGTCAAACAAAAATGACCATTAGTAAAAGCGAATAAGAGATAACTCGTGAGAAAAGCAGCACTAGCGAGTGAAAAGGAAAGAAATAGCACAAAATATATGTCCCGAGTGGACTATCTTAATTATTCGTATAAAAAATTAAAAATTAAAAGAAAAATAAATTTAGATATTTTTTGTATTATTCAAGAGTGTATTTGTTGAGTTGAATAAATTTTTTATTCATACTTATAATAAATTCAGTGACCCTTTAAAAAATATCCTAAATCCGCATTTTTAGACTAGAACACTTCCTCAATAATAAAATTGAAAAAAAAATATTACAAAAAACTTACTTCAATAGATACTTACAATTATCCGGAATATTTTCCTTCATCTCTTGATCATTATCCTGAAGTAAAGACTCATTGGAATCAAATTTTTTCACGTCGTCAATTTGTTTAATGCCTACAGCAAGCCGCCCTTCTAATTCAAGTTTCATATCACGAAGTTCCCGGATGCACGTGTCATTATCAAGTTGAATAATTCTCAATACCTTGAGTAGTTTTGTCACGAGATTATCTACATCAATAACTTGGTCGACAAGATTCACGGCAGTGCAATAATCAGCTGTTGGCACAGTTACGTCAGCGTGTCCGGTGGCTTCGGATTCGCTAATAGATTCGCAGTCATCGTCATCATCTTCAGCGTCTTGTTCTTCGGCTTGTCGTCGATTTAAAATGGCTTGGGAGAGATTGGTAAGACTAGAGCACTCGTCACTCTTGTAAAGCGATGTCACGTCGTCAGTAATAGGTTCAGGAACACTCAAAGCTCTTCTCAAAGAGTCGCTACTCGAAACCATGTTCCTAGAGTAAGTATCGGGTATAGAGACATCCTCAAGAACGCTTTCCATCATAAGACACGGTTCGGTTTCAAAATCCAGCATGTCTGCTGAGGATTCCATGCTCAATTCCTTGAAAATTTGTTGCTTTGCGTCTGATTTTTTGCTAGTTGGTCGGGAAACAAACGGATGAGTCGCCGCATTTCTGATGGCACCGATCACAGCGGATACAAACGAGTTATGTTTAGGACTGGGTGTGCAATCTTTCAAGCTGAATTGCTTTGAGCTCACTGGACTGGATTCGCCGCTGCTGTTACTCCTGCTGTAAGCTTCGTTGTGATAAACCACATCTTCCAGATCTTTTTCTGAAATTTTGTAAGACTTAACAAGTTGTTCCACGAGTCCTTCAAGTCGCGAACCGAGTCCAGAAAGCGCAACAGCAGCTCCTGAAACAGCTGCGCCTTGAGTAAGAATCAATTCTCGGCTTTTGCGTTCAACTGCATTCAATTTAAACTCGAGCGTCATACATTCCTGACGTCTTTGTTCACTCAGCCGAACAAGATGTTTGCATTCGTCGGTTTTTACCTCCAGTTCTTTATCTTTTGCCGCGAGCATTTCTTCTTTAATCTTCAAATCCGCTTCAACTTCTTTCATAGCTTCAGCAATCGAATTTTTCTCCAGCTGCAAAAACTCCTGAAGCTCCATCGACTCAACTTCAACTTCGTGCTGATGTTGGAACAGAGTCTTCTGAGCCGCCAAACTTTTCTCCAAGTCTTGGTTGAGCATTCGACAGAGATTTTGTAGCTGCTGTATCTCCAACTGCTGGTTCGCGACAACTTGCCCTGACTCTTGGAAGTGTGACTCGAGCTCCAAAAGACTGTCACCGCCTTCAGACTGCTCTGAAGCCGGAGTACCGAGTATCGCAAGAATCCTCCTGGAGTTACTCTGTAGTTCTTGTCGCGTAAACGAATGATCGGCTCGTTCTTTAGCCAGTTGACGTTCCGTAGCGGATAATTTTAATTCTAGCTTCTCTTTTTCTTGCTTCATAGCTGCCATTTCGCCGGCAAATCGCTTAGCTTCATCTAACGCGCTCTTTAATTCTTCTTCAGAAACAACATTGGCTTCAGTCTGGCATTCAATTGCAACACTGTCAGGAGTTTCAGGGCCATAGTGTTTAGTTGGAAGACCCGCCATCGCTCCCTCGATATCTTGTCCTGTTAAACCTGTTTGTACACTCATTTCATGGTAAATAACAATTTTATCAGAGCCTTTGGACCTAGGCGGCAAGCTTTTGTGAATCAGCGTAGACTCCCGAGAATTAACTCGCTTTTTTCCTTTATCACCTCTGCCAAGACTCGAGTCTCTATTGACAGATTTTTGAATTTCTTCTGGCTTAAAAACGGACATCCTTGACTTATTTCTCCTCGGAAAAGTTCCGTAAGTCTCTAGAGTTTTATTTTCAGCGCACTTGACCTCGTTTGATTTTTTGCTCTCTTGTACAGACCTTGTAAAAGTTTTGCTTGTCTTGGGAGTGGTGGCTAAGGGTTTTCTGAACTCCTCGGAAGGTGTCGAGCCAGCAGTGCTTCTTCCTCGAGAGGCCGTAGAAGGACATCGTGATAAGCTAGATGAACCACGACCGATGCAGCTTCCTCTGGCTGCGAGATCTTTATCAATTTCTTTAGCCAGCGCAGAAGTACCCGAGAGTGTAAGTGAATCAGGAATGGGGCGTGTTCTCGTTCTCACCCGCGTGGTTCCTGTCGCAGTCCAGGACTTAGTGAGTTCTTTAGAATCCGCAGTAACTCGAGCCGCAGATTTGTCACGAGATTTGCTGGTCTGCGGCTTGGAAGGTGTCGCTCGGGGGGTTTGCGAGCGGGTTTTACTTCTAGCGGTTGAAGGAAGTCGGTGGGAGGCATCTTCAGGCAAAGTGGATCTTCCTCGTGAGCTCTTTGGGTGGGAGGTTTCTACTTTAATAATCTTCTTTTTACACGACGTGATATTTGTACTCGCCGGCGCTCGCTTTGGAGTCGTCCAAACTACCCGGGCGCTGATACTCCCGGCAACAGATGAGCTTTCACTGCCTCCTTCACTAGTAGCTTCTCCATTTCCCCGAGGAACTATCCGGGATGACCCACTGGCTTCCCCGCTGCTACCAGCACCTGGAGTTAGCCTCAGGTCGTCTGGAAGTTGTCCGCAAGGGTCTTCGTAAACTGAACAGCAACTCACTAGACTCGAATCGCAACTAACTTCATCCAGTCCGTTGCAACTTCCCGAATAACCGTTTGTCTGATAAAAATAAATTTTAAATTATAATTTAAATAATAATCTTAGTATTTATCAAACAGATTTGTCTGCATAAATTATTTTAAGGTTTTAAATTACCTGGACTACTTCTGTCGTACATCCTTCAACTCCGCTATCACTGCCATCCTTGTTATCCTTACTCTCCGCTAATGCTTCTGACACGTGAATTACCGTGACATTGCAGTCGCTGTTGGCTGTGTTATCCAAGTTCTCCTCGTTTTGCGCTGAATCTTTCGCGCATGGTGACGCAAGATCCTCAGGCACGCCGGAGTCCTGTCGAGTGACGTATAAAGGCGGTACTGGCATCAGCTCCAATTTTTTAATATTATCATTATCAATCTCTTTATTTATTTCAGAGTCCTTGGTTAATTCATCATTTATTCTGGCTTCTTTCTCTTGCGCGTCCTGCCAAAAAAATTATAAATATTATATTACAATTTTTTTTTTTTTATGTATGCAAGGATATGAGATATGTCAGTTATTATTATTAAATATGAAAGAGATACATTGATTTATTCAAATCTAGATTTATGGTCTTACGGAAAAAAAAAAAAATATCTTTTGATTGATTACTTTATGTTTCTTTTTACGATTACTTATAAGTTAAATTAATAAATTGAAAATTATTATAATTAACAACTGTATTATTTTTTATAAAAAAAATAATATTAATAATAATCAATATAAAAAAAATCGAGTAACTAGTTAGTTATACGGTACACAATATTTCAACCTATAAAAATTATAGTTAGAGTTGTTTTTTATCGTCACCCTTTTTTTTATTTTATAAAAATTTTTTTAATAAAAAAAAAAGATTTTTTAAAAAATGTAAATATTTTAATGGAAAAATTATTTAAAAAATTGATATTTTTCAAAAAAATTTTTTAACAAACACTGTTACGTTTTCGCAAATTTTAAATTTAATAAATTATTATTTAAATTAATTGATTATTAATCGAGGTATTTCGTAACAGAAATACCTCGAGATGAGAGATTTCTGGAACGTAAACGCAGCCCAGTAGACTAAACAGTCTACGTTGTGGGATTTGGACTGCGTTAATGTTCTCATAGGGTAACCTGAGATGCAAAGTTGCTAAAAATTATTATAAAAACCCATTGTAAAAATTATTATTCATGCATTCTGTCTTCAGACTTTTTCTGGAGCAGTCAGTCCGAGGACTTAACAGAGTAGCAATCTCTGCTGGTCTGAGACTGAACCTGCCAATTCCTTTTTAATAAATCTATTTAATTGTCAATCAATTAAAATGGAAATTTATTAAAACCTTAACCCAGGGTTGAGAGCACTTATCAGCGTTCCACCCTGGTTCCTTTACCTGAAGTGCTAGCCAGTGTTCTCAATTCATCATCTGCCTGAGAGCAAGTAAATTAAAAGTAATTTCAAAAATTTATAAATTTAATCTTAAAAAGCTACTTCGGGGAGGAATCAGTGACACGACCTACCTGGAGTCTATCGACTTCCTAATGAAGTCAAAATCTGGATTTAAATTATTTAAAATTGATTAACCCAAAATTTGAAAACGTAACATCACATATTTATTTCTTAAATTTAAATAAAAATAGAAAAATAAAAAAAAAAAATTTTTTTTTTAAATGATAAAAATAGATAAAAAAAATTTTTTAATTATTTGTTTTTGCTCGTCAACTACAGAAAAAAAAATTTTAGAAATTAGTAGACCATTATGGACATATTTTATGAAAGATTTTTTAAAATTTTCAATATAAAAAACTAATTAGAAATTTTTATGATTGAGCTCAATAATTAAAAAAAAAAAAGTGTATTAAAATGTTAATTTTTTATAATTGTTTTACCAAAAAAACCACGTGACCGTGAGACGAAACAATTACTTACCAAAAATTTGTAGAGCGAATGGACAAGTAATGGAGTAAATTATTCGGCAAAGGTAAAATAATTGAATCGACTGTTTAAATCAGGAAATTGACTATGAAAGATTATTAACGAAGACAATTTACTCTTAAGGTGATAAAATTAAATGGTAATCGAATTTCACTTTCGAAATCCAATTACCACGTGTTATTAACGATTATCATCTATAACTATATATCTTAGTAAAACTATCGTCACGTCATACTGATATTATAAACTCGGTTGTCGGGACTTCTCACTGCTGTCAAAACAGTTAAATCATTATCGCTCGACGATTATATTCTATTTGCTTCATTCCCACTTCCTCACTCTCACTTTATTATTATCATAATATCTTATCATTCAATAACGTGCACCACAATAAGTGTTTGTTTATGAAAATAAAAATTTTAAATATAAATCTAATATACAATTCATTCAAGTCCTTATCATTAACTAATAATGTTTATAATTTGTATTTACCATTGATAAATATAATTATTTGCAAAGATAATAAATTTAAAGGTCATGGTTGAAGTTCAAATTTTTAGATTAATTCAAAATGATTTGATTGATTCAGATAATAGAGATAAATGTTTTTATCTAGGCGATAACAGGTCCCATGTGATGAAATAAGCGTCTTTCAATACATATAAGATTCAACGAAAGTATGAGTGTTACAAAATAAAGTGGGAGGAAGAGATAGAGCCTAATAGTTATAATTTAACGAATGATATAACCGAGGGAATAACCGAGGATTATTGCAGTTTATTGGCTAGTAAAAAAAATATACAACGTCGTCGAGGGGCCGGACACTTTATATGAACGCGCTTGCCGATTATGGAAGCACTGAGGCGTCAACTGAGACACAGGAAACACTTATTTAAAGTCAATAAGTGTCACAAGAAGTACGCGACCCTCTTAAGAAGACCTTCAATAGCTCAGGACACTCTTCGGGACCTTAATAGAAAGTACGACAATGAATATTAAAAATCAATTGGATAGTCATAATATTAGTGGTATAAATAATAATAATAATGTCAATTCAAGTTTTAACAATTACAAACCCAAGGACAGGAGACCGATAGACCAATCTAAGAGCGGCCTTTTTTACGGAGATAATCTAATTATTAAAATGGAGGTCAATCATCGGCAATTAGAGATAATTGGTGACGGTTGTCAAGTTACAATCGTCAATAATCATGCTAAAATAAAAATAATCGGTGACGGCGGAGTGTTGAGAATAATTGGAGATAATTTTGGTGATCTTGTGTACTATGGCGACGGTGGAAAAATTTTACTTGGAGAAAATAATAATTTGAAGAAAGTTCAGTATGTTGGTGATGGTGGTCAGGTGAATAATAAAAAATTTATCAATGGACTGGAGTTGTCAGTTGTTTCTGGTGGGTTCCAAAAAATCACCGGCATTGGTACAAAAACAACGAGGAAATTTAAAACCACCGGTTGTAAAAATGACAACACCTGATTAAGATGTTTGTGAAGAAGAAACTCGACCTGCGGAGTAGACAAGTTTACTTATTTTATGTTATATACATACAAGTATATAATAATAATGATAAAAATAAAAAAGTAATTTATTTATACGACAATGAGTATTTATAAATAAATCAAGATATTACATAGCCCACCTTTTTTGTTGTATTTAAAAGCACGTAGACTCGTAATGTGTGTGTGTGTATAGATGTTTAAAAGAAAATTAATGAGACATTCTATGTGTAAATATATCCCTTGGCCCCGGGTGGACGGCACGCGTACTGCATTCTATCGCGGACACCGCAACTCCGTCAGACAGATGCCATCAACACGAATTTAATGTCACATACATTCGCGGTCTATACATACGCTATTATTACGCCGCGTAATGTGTAAGAGGGTGTCATACCAAATTCTTGGAGATCTAACAGAGGGAACGAGCCAGATGCACCGGAAATTATCACAGGAGGTCATTCTCAATTCGCTATTTTACTTTCTTTGTCTTCACTTTCGTTTACATTATAAATTAACGCACAATCAACTCATTATTATAATTGTCCTCGAGCTATTTATTTTTGTAAATAAAAATTTTAATTAAATAAAATAAAATAGAAAATATTCAGGTATAAATCGCATTTGTACGTAACATCATAAAACTCTGTCCGATCGATAAGTATTATGTCAGTAACGAGAGCATTGAATTAATAAAATAAAAAAATTTTTTTTTTTCACTTAAAAGTTAATAAAATAATTTTTGCGTAAATTTATTTAAAAAAATTGAATAAATTTACCTGAAAAATTGATGGAGAATCTGAGTCGAAATTATTGGAAGACATTGATGATCTTGATGATCCTTTTGGATCCTGACTCCACCTTGACTCGCATATAGCTGAGCACATTCACTCCTCGTGCTCGATAATATCTTAATTATATCTCGGCGCTGATAAAAAGTAAGAATAATAATAATAATAATAATAATAATAAAATAAAATTGGCAATAAAATGAGTAATTTGAACGTACAAACACTTTTTTAAAAATAAAATAAAAAAGACACTGTGAGTTGTAATAAAGGCAGCTTCTGAAATGTTTAAAGAACCGGAGTTGGTGAATTAATAAATGAATGTATAATTTTTCTCGGGTTGTTAGACGATCTAATCGGTGATGAACACAGATACTAAGCAAACACTAGGTGCGGACACAAATACACTTATTAGCAGTAGACATCGGCTACTCAACACCAATCAACAGTTCAGTATCCTAACAACAACAACTGTATAAGTATTATATGGAATGGAGTGAGGACAGATGTAGATGGAGTTTTAGCGAGCGCAACCCTGCTGAATGGCAGATGTTCTATGCGGTCTAAGCTCCAACGGCATGGTCGTTGCTCGGAAGACCTCTGGCTAGGGTCAAGAAGTACTACCAACTGATGATCCAATTTTCATATGCCAGAGAGAAAGAAAGTTGTAGAGGGAGACTAACTGGGGAAGGGGAAGGGAGAGGGAATTTAAATTTCCATGTTATGTTTTTGTTTACTTTCACTGGCAATTTCAAGATAAAGACCAATAAAATTTATTGTTGTGAATAGCATGCTTGATTTATCGTGAGATTTAAATTAGCTAAAATATGTATAAGAATTTATTATCACGGTTATTAGTTTTTGTTAATTAACAATAAGAATTAATTGATCATTATTTTTAATTACTCGTGAAATATTTATCACTTTATGGGTAATTACTATTTCATTAAGTAATTTACGTCGTTATTGAAAGTTTTTCATCGCGGGAGTCAGCGTCATTAACGCGTCAATCATTTTTTTTCTCTCATTGTCGTTCTTCAAACTCGCCCACATTGATTCTAATTTTTTTGTCTGGTACTTCTGAAATCAAAAAGGAAATTATTATTTATTAATCATTTGTAGCTTTCTAATTTTTTTATAGTAATTATTACAGTTTTTTTTTTTTTTTTTTTTTTTTATAATTTACATTTATTTTTTGCTAGCAAGCTACACAAAAAATGGAGTAAAAAAATTAGAAATTATACTTGTTGCTAATTATAAAAAATATCCTTGAGTATGTTAGGATTTATTTTAATTTTTTGGAAAGAATTTTGAAAAATTAATTTTTATTTTTAAAGTAGTTGTGTAATCATTTCAATGACACAGGTATAATTGAACAATTGAAGATTATTTGTTGATTTATAAGCTTATAGTCTTTCATAAGCTCTTAGAACCGGAGTGTCCTTGTTAATCAAGGAAAAGTAAGAGTTTATTTTTTTTTTGTTGTTTTTTGTTAGATATATTTTGGTAACATAAGTTAGCCTTACAATGAATTAATAAAACTTTTATAAACATATGTAACTAATGTTTTGATGACAATAAATATAATAATTTAATAATGGCGTAATATTTTTCCCTAATAATTAAATTATTCGTAATCCTAAAGTTAGTTTTTAAATAAAATTAAAATTTCTCAAAATTTAATTTTTTATTGTATTAAAAAATTAATTCTATAAAATATTATTTTTACTAAAAAGTTTTTTAATATTTTCTATGGAATAAAAATTGTTCAAGAAATGATTAATTATTTTGTTAAGTAAAAAATTAGTAATTATTAGTAAAAATAATTTGTAATAAATTTCTTCATTAAGATTTTACAATAATAAATTGTTTTTTTTTTTAATGAAGATGATACTTTTGGTAAATATTTACAAGTGGGGTCAACCATTTTAATTTTTATTTTTTTGAACGAAATTTCTATCTGATTCTATTGATATATTTTTTTTTTTTAAATAAAAAAATGATGAAAATTGAATCAGCCGACATTTAAAAATTTTTATAATTCATTTCATTAAAAAATAATCTCTAAAAAATTAAAAGAAAAATGTTCATATGTAGAAAATTATAAAAAATTATACGTGCAATTTTTTTAAAATATTTTTTTAGTTCTAATTTAACTGATAAAAAAAATCAAAAATTATTGAGTGTCAGCTAATTTTATTATCATAAAAAAATTAACAATTAAAAAAAAAAGTTGATTATCACAATTTTAACAAATTTTCAAAAAAATTTATAAATGAATTTTTTTGAAAATTGTGATATTCAACTTTTTTGTTTTTCAAACTATTCGTTTTATTATATACTTTTCGAAAAAAAGATAAAATAAAAATTTTATCCAAAAATATGAGCCAAAATTTTTTCCAACTTTTGAAGGCAAAAAAGTTATTGAAATCTATTTTTTTCTATTACGACATTTTTCATTATTAATACGCCGTAAAAACAGGCAGAATGAAAAAAAAAAATTTGAAATTGTTAATTTATCACCTAGTTATGGCCCAAAATAAGGTTGACCCCACTTGTAAATAATTACCATACTTTTTCGACTTAATATGGTAATTTACATCGTCGAGTAAATTTTTGAACCAATAAACATTCGCTAATAATTATAAATTTTAATTTAAAAACTTTAAATATACGTACTCTTATAAATGCAAAACATTTCTTCATAGTTGCACCAACATAAAGTATTTTTATAGATACTGTTGTACCTCCAATGTCAATTACTTTAGGAATAGTGCTAATTAAGTAATTATGTGGTCCATGCCGGCATCTTATCAACGCTATTTTTGTATGAGTATTACAATATTTAGCTTAAAAAAATAAAGAAAAATAAATTAATTAATCAATTAATTGTTTATATAAAAACAAAAATTTAATTGCAAAATTACCATTAAATCCAGTACTAATAGTGGATAATCCTTTTTGTCCATAAGTATTTTGAACTTCTTTCTGAATCGCTGCTTGCAATGTTGAGGTTTTTAATACTAACGGCTTTGACTCTTTCTTCGGTATTACTTCAATAGTAAAATACCTGCAAAAATATATAATTATTTAAAAAGAAAATACATTACTTGATAATAAAAAAAATAAAAATAAATCTAACCTGTTTTTAAACCGCACCATTTTGAAGGTTAGTAACTGAATGTGTGTTTTAGAAAATAAATAACTTATCTATTTACAATAAAATAATATTAAATAACTTTGTTTAATTATTTACATTACAGAACTATAAATGAATTAAAAACTCTAGTTAACTTGTAAACTTTATTGAAACCTGACGTCAAGCTCCATGTGATCTGTTTTTAATTATTTACATGCAAGATAAATTTATATTATGTAGACAAAGTCACGTGGATGTGAATGAATTATTGTATTTTATATGAAATAAGCGATGATAATATTGGAAAGGCCACAACAACTATTCCCAAGGCAATTTCAATCTGACTGTCAATTGCAAATAATGCATCCAATAATTGACAAGTTTATATTGTCAATAACAAAACCAAGCACTGTAAAAATAAAAAACCATCAACTAGAATTATTTTTATCTTACAATTAATAAACTAGAAATATGAATGATAATATGGAGACTACGTAACTAGTTTTTAATTTACAATTTTCCCAGCGATGCACAATAAATTTACATACAAACTTAAATAATAATTAAAATAACGTATGATCATTGTAAGTATGTTTACTTTTTATTATTCTTTTTCTCGTTTTTATTTAGACGTTCAAGCTCTGTTATCGCGAGTCAGTTAATCAGTATTATACATTTTTCAGACTCTCTGATCCCTCGGTGATTTTATCTAAGTATAAGAATATAAAATTATTTTATAGACTTTATAATATTAATATTAGTTTGCTGTTGTCTGTTTTAGATTGTAGTTTACAATTATATTTTACATAATAAACATCGCAATGGAGTATTACGTTGGAGTTGATGTTGGAACAGGAAGTGCTCGAGCTGCGTTATACGATTCTGATGGGAAACTTATTAAATTATCGACTTATCATATTGAAACTTTCAATAGCATTCCAGATTTTTATGAACAGTCTTCGGAAGATATCTGGCAAGCTGTAAAGCGAGTTGTCAAGGTAATTTAGTGTTTAAAATTAAGTTAAATTTATTGTTTTCTACTTTTCAATTATTGCAGATTCGTCGAGTAGTTGTTAAAGAATTGTTTTTTATGAAACTGTAGCGTAAAGTAACATTGATAATTTGTTTATTGTTCATTTGTTTATTTTATTATCTTCTGAAGAAATAAAGAAATTGTATTTATATAAATATAATAAATATTTATACAAATAATATAAATGAATTCATTATAAATAATTCACTTGATCAATTTCTTCTTTAAGAATATAGTCTAGTTCAGTGGCTAAAAAAAAATTTGTGGTTGGTAAATGAAGTTTTAAATTAAAAAAATAAAAATTTTTTTCAGTTTTTTTACAAAAAACATATTAAAAATCAATATGAAAACGTAATTTTGAAAAAAAAAAAAAAAAAAAGCATTTTAAGTTTCTTTAAATAAAAAATTTTAACAAAAATTAATCTGCGATCCTTCGCCCGAAATAGTTAACACATCTCCGGGAATTCTTAGATAAATATACATTTGAAAAATGTAAAAAAAAAAATCGAATTTTCGAAAGTGATCAATTAGACTAGAGTACACCCTTAAGAAATTTTTTTACATCAAACTCGGTAATTATTTACAGGTGGGGTCAACCCCATTTTGAGCCATAACTAGGTGAAAAATTAACATTTTCAATTTTTTTTTATTCTGCTTGTTTTTACGGCGCATTTACGATAAAACATGTGAACGAAAAAAATAAAGATTTCGATAGCTTTTTTACCTTCAAAAGTTGGAAAACATTATTGCTCATGTTTTTGGATAAAATTTCTATTTTATCTTTTTTTGATGTTTTTTATATATTTTTTTTTTTTTTTTTTTTGAAAAGTACATAAAAAAACGAATAATTAAAAAAAAAAGTTGAATATCACAATTCTCTAAAAAATTTATAAATTTTTTTGAAAATTTGTTAAAAATGTGATAATCCATGTTTTTTTTTTTAATTGTTCAATTTTTTATGTATTAAAAAAAAAATATATATATATCAATAAAATCAAATAGAAATTTCGTTCAAAAAAATGAAAATGGTTGACCCCACTTGTAAATATTTACCCATACTTTTTTAATAACTAGTAAAAAAAAATCCATTTAAAAATCAAAAATTTATTGTTTACAATATTTTTTTTTTGACCGAAAAAATAATTCTTGATTTAATTTTAAAAGTATTTTTAAAAAAAACTTATACATAATTATTTAAAATTATTTCAGACAGTTGTCCACGATACTCCAAAAAACCTAATAAAAGGAATAGGATTTGCTGCAACATGTTCACTGGTCCTTTGTGATGAAAACGGACAACCGGTAACTGCCAGTTCAACTGGCGATGACAATCGTAATGTTATCCTTTGGCTGGACCACCGCGCTGAAGCAGAAGCTAATTTCATCAACATGATGGGCCACGACATGCTAAAATACGTTGGAGGAAAAGTGTCGTTAGAAATGGAAATCCCGAAGATCATGTGGGTGAAGAAAAACTTGCCCAAGTCATGGAATAGAGCGAAACTAATTTTCGACTTGCCGGATTTTTTGACTTGGAAAGCAACTGGCTGTGAGACGAGGTAAAATTAAAAAAATTAAATTTTTAAAAATGATTAGTATTAATAACAATTACTTTTATTGCAGATCATTATGCTCGCTGGTATGCAAATGGAATTACCAGGCGAATCCCGAAGGAGAGAATGGCTGGTGCGAAGATTTTCTTAACAAACTCGGACTTGCGTCTCTTAAAGACGATAATTGGAAACGAATAGGACGTAAAGCACAGGCTCCTGGTGAACCAGTAGGTAAAGGTTTATCATCAATAGCAGCGTCAGAGCTTGGATTGAATGAAGGAACGCCCGTTGGAACTTCAATAATAGACGCGCATGCAGGCGGTCTTGGAATGATTGGTTGCTCGGCTCCAGGAGTGTCTGAGAGTTTTACTAGCAGACTTGGGCTCATTTGTGGGACCTCAACTTGTCATATGGCAGTTAGCGAGAAAGCTATCTTTGTTGGAGGAGTCTGGGGGCCTTATTACAGTGCGATGGTACCTTCACTTTGGCTAAATGAAGGAGGTCAAAGTACTACGGGGAAATTACTTGATCACATTATTGATAATCATGCTGCTGCAGCAGAAATACGGACCAAAATTTACGGAAAAATGTGAGCTATTGCTAAAAAAAAATCTCTAAAATTTTGATAATTTTTATTTTAATTTTTCTAGGCATGTTCAACAATATCTTTCGGATCTTCTTAAATCCATGGCCGAGCAAAATAATTACCCAGATATTTCTTTTCTTACAAAAGATTTACACGTCTGGCCAGACTTTCATGGCAACCGATCACCACTGGCTGATCCAACTTTACTGGGAATGATTTCCGGACTATCTCTGTCTTCCAACGAAGAAGATCTTGCACTTCTTTATCTCTCTACTATGCAAGCTCTCACAGTATATAATTATAAATATTTTTAATTTAATTAAGGGGTTACATGGGTTTCACGGTTTCAAAAAATCGATTTTTTTTTAATGTTTTATTAAATTCTACAACATTTCTAGAATATTATCCTAAATTTTCAAATCGATCCGAAGAATAGTTTTGGAGGTACAGTTTTAAAAAGTTTCGCTCTCAAGGCGATGATGTATTGTCACTCAAAACTTTAAACGCGTTTTTCTCAAAACTATGTTTTCAAAGACGGTACCCGCGATTTCTCGAGAACTACTCAACCGATCTTGATGAAATTTTAGTCAAGTCTTCAAGATATAATTTACAAGGTCTTGAACGAAAGATTTTTTTTTTTTTTTTTTTT